GGCTTTGCATTTCTTGACCTTCCGAGCAAGTGCCTCAGATGGCGCACTGGGGCCAGCTGACGGAAAGATTGGCACATGTCGTTTCTAGCTTGCTCTGCTCAGACTGCCTTATGAAGTAATTCCGGAAGTCAGCGCGGGCTCCCCTTTCACATCCGAATCAAGCGGAGAAAGCAGCGTCCACGGGAAGCCTCGCTGGCTATGGGATTTCTGAGGTCTGTGCTTCTAGCCTTGCACGATCAGCGTTTCCACCGATCGTTTTCCTTCAACATGTCAAGTCGAAGGATGAGCGTCAAGATCTCTGTCATCTACTCGCGCACAGTTTGCGGAGAACCCTGAAAGCTAAAGCCCCAAAGCCTGAACGATCCAATCCTAACCCTTCTACCAAACCCTCTCAAGCCTTACGAAGTCCCCTCATAGCCTCTTACAGGCTCATCACGAAACCTTTCCAAGCGCAGGGTCCTTGCAGTGCTTTTGCGTCCCTGGGATGTGGCCGTCACTTTGGTTGCATGCGTCATCTAGGTTCCCTAGTCAGCTTGGGGCTCTCGGCTGTGGCCTTAGTTCGAAACCTGGCAGTGGTGCACACTTGCAACTCAGTAAGGTGTAGCCTCGTGAAGGGTTCAGGCACAAGCACGTTTGGGAGCCTTACGGGCACCAGCACAGAATAGTTTCTGCTACAGAAAAGCAATATAGCCTAGAGTCTTGCAGATACCTAAAGTGCAGGACTCGCAAGACAGGCTTGCATGCCCCTTCAGCAGGCAAAGTCTGGAGCGTCCCGAGTTCAGTAAAAGCCCGATACCCTAATCGAAGAGCAATGTCTCGTTAAAGGCTGCCTGCACGGAACCAAGAAGCCTTCCGTTGTAGATTGCAGACATGAGCTATCCAGCGTTCATACAATATCGGAGCACATTCGCATGCATGCTGTGTTTTATAGAAAGACACTGCCTGAAAGCTCAACATCTTCAAGTCTCAACTTCCTCTTTGCCACAAGGTTTCGAGCTGCAAAACCCTTGTCAGTCAGCCCTCTGTCTCAGAACTGCAAGATTCGAGAAGTCTGTGTGGCCATGGAGTTGCCCTGAGAGGATGAGGGCCACACCGCTTGACCGAAGATTGTACCCCTGATCCGGGCTGCGGAATAGGCGGTGCTTCAAAACTTGGTTCAGTTCTTGTGATTCAAGCTTTCGGTTGTGCACAGATGGGCGGAGACGTGAGTTTCTTAACCACAGACCATGGACAACAAACGACTGTCTCCTGGACCACGGCGGGCTTCGGATTGTTGACATTTCAATTTGCCATCCGAGGCTGTGAATCCAAGGTCACAAGGTCATACATCGGATGGAGGGCAAGGGGAAACCTTCTGGCGTTCTCTGGGTCTGCACTTTGCTACTTTTCCGCTGCTCCGCTTGTCGTATCCTGCCTGCACTTGAATATGATGCTTCCCTCCAACAAAGTTCTGAAGCACGCACCCAAGCCTTTCCTCCATGAACACTGCAAACAATGACATGCACAATGCACCTACCCCATCCCACACCCTACTTCTCTCAGAAAAAGAACTTGAGCCCTTGCCTGGTCGTCATTCTGGTGGTATTTCGAGAGAGAGTCTTCCGAGCGAAGGAGACCGATGCTGAAGCCGAAGGGGAAGCAAAGGCCTGCGCACAAGCGACATTATCGTACTAAAACAAGAACTTACACAACAAGTATTACTCAAGTCTATACACTAGGGGTAGGCAGCCACCGGTCATGCTCGGGGAACGGTCCAAGTGCAACGGCATACAGGGTATACACACCATCATGCAGGGTGTGAATGGCACTCGCAGCTATCTGGTGCTGGTCGCGCTGTAGCTAAGTTGCTGATAGTTGTTATCATTGCCTGTACGACAATTCTAGCATTTCTTCATCGTCTGAATGCTACTACCGTTACTGCTACCGCTACATGACTTTGAGGATTTTGCATCGGGTTTCTGGTGAACATTCATGGCCGAGCGCTTCCGGGGCTTGCAGTGCTTGCAGGCTTTCGTTCTGACTTGAGGCATTGAACATTTCGGATTGCAAAGTAAATGAAGTCACTCTTCGATCTAAACCCTAAACCCCAAACCGTACAGCTTTGGTACGGCGGCGTTTTCTGCTTCAGAATCTCCTAATCGTACTGCACCGCTCTCAACTCCTCGAACCCACCTGGACGCAAATGCTAGGACCCAAGCTGAACCGGAAAAGCCAAGGCCCGTACCTCACTACAGGAGGCCAAAACAAATAGTTACCACTACTATTTTGGGGGTTCCTTCTTGTCATTATAAAAATGTAATGGGCCCCAAAAACCCTGTTCTAATTAACAGCACCAGAGGCTGAAACCCGCTGCAAAGCCCCCGAGTTCTGGAGCCCTCCCGAAACCCCAAAGGTTCCAAACACCAGCTCTCCTCACCGCTGCTTCGGCGGCTGTGAGATATCTCCTGTGCTCTTTCGGCAAATGCAGGATTGCTTAAAACTCGACGGTTGAGGGGCGTCAGGGCAGGTCGACAGAGCCTGCAAATCTCTGTGGATACTTTCAGGCCTGTCTTACCCTGGACCCTAAACCCTAAACCCTCCCTTAAAGGAACCTTGAGATCCGAAGCGTGGCCTCCTGAACTCCCAAAGGCCCCAGTCATCCTGCATAAGAGCACTCTGCAGCTCCTTCGGCGACTCACTTTCTCAGGGGGCCACATCCGAAACTCTGCTTCCAGCCCGGAACTTCGAGCCTAAGGTCCTAAACCCGTAGCCCCTTGTTTGGGTTATGGAATACTAGCTCGGCCGCCGGTTCTCAGAATTGCCGGTACATGAGGCCCCAAATTGACAAGTCCCAGGGAACTATTGGCCCTTGCTGTTCCGCAGGCTTTTGTACCTAAACTGAAGAGCCTTGAACTCGGACACCCTGAAACCGAGCAACCTCCTCCTGCATCAAGCACATGACTGCAGAGAGCCGACTCCGAACTCGCAGGCCTCGTCTGAACTCGCCAGGCTTGCGTACTCCGAGTCCGAATAGTCGTCGTAGGATGAGCGGGCAAGTATCTGCCGGATGAGTTGGGAACTGGGGCCATGCAGCTGGCGTCGTCCCTTGTGAGGTCTTCCAGGTTTCACGAGCCTGGTCGCTGTCTTCGTCTTGACATGTGCAGTGAACTTTTGCAGCGAAGCCCGGTTGTGAGTTAGAACCGCCAGCCTATGAACAACCTCCGCATTGCCACAGCAGATAGCTTTTCGAACCTCCACCAAACGTCTCAAGGATGATCCGGCTCCCAAGCAGGAAACCTCCAACCTCCGACAGCCCCTAAACCCTAAATCTTATTCCCCACCCAAACCCTAAACCCACATAAATCTGGCCAAGGCCAGGGCGGAATTCCCTTGGCTGTCGACCAAGCCATAGGCTCGGCAGAGGTAGAGAGGACACTCCGTCCTGGAAATACGCCGGATACGTACATGTTCTACATGTTCACACAAATCTTCTTCTTGTTGAGATTCTTCGCCTTCTTATTGCTATTGCTAGCTAGTGGTGCTGGTATTGACATTGTTGTTGGTGTACCTGCGGCTTCAAGATTCTCGGAATGCGTTGTCATTGCAAAGAACCCACACCAGCGCCAGCAGTGCGAAGAGTGGTTACTAAGACCTCTTCGTCGAGCCTACGTACCAAACGCTTGAGAGTCGCCAGGGTTTGCACTGTACCAAAGGCTCCACTGCACAAGGGGCAAAGCGGAACCCCTCGAGCTCCTCATGTTTGTGAGCTTCTGCCGGATCTTCTCGGCCTCACATCACGGACGATATTGAGGCGGCGGCTTCTGATGCTTTGTTTAGACTAAATGAGGGTGCTTCTGATGCTAAGGATGGTGCCGATGACAATTGAGTTCTTCACGATGATGATGATGATGATGATGACGATGATGATGATGATGATTATGATGATGATGGTGATGATGATGGTGATGATGATGATGATGATGGTGACGATGATGGTAGTGGAGATGGCGACGATGATGGTGGTGATGATAGTGATGACGATAATGATGATGATGATGATGATGATGATGATGATAGACGTGGCGGCGATGATGAACTGGCACCGATATGTAGTTCGTAAGACGATGCCAAAAAAGGAGCAGCAGGATCAGCACGTTATCTTAGTGGTGGGTCGGCTTGCTCTGGGCTTCATGCCCGTTGGCCATCTCGTCTTGCCTTCGGGGACAAGTCGAATCTGCACTCCGATTTAGCTTCAACTGTCGACCTCAAACGAAAACGTTCAATCTGCGTGGCTACAGTACTCTTTTTCGGTTTCTGTCACTACTGCTGCTGTGACGGCGGCTGCTGCAAGTCCTGCACGCACTTGCAGTTCTTCGAGACTTGTAATTGCAGATGTGTCAGGCTCTACTCAGGCCTACCGCAAGCACTGCATCAAAGCGAGGTTCTATGTCGTCGTGGCCAGACATATTCAGGATAGGACGTGATGCGAAGACTCTGCTGGTGCGTCACACCCATTGAAACCGGGCCAAACCTGCGTGTCATGCCGGATGCTGGACTGTGTGGCATTCCCGCCTTGGCTAAGGCAAGCTTCTCCTGCACCATGGAGAAAGGCTGAAAGGGCTCAGCAAGACAGTTTTGCATTCCCCGCAGCCTTGGGTTACAAGCCCCTTGTAGTATTGAGCCCAGTTCGAGTCTTCTTACTTAGATGCTCCGGAGCAGTGGAATTTGCACGAACCGACACCTCGAAGCTCTGAACCTCCCGAGGCCGACACTTCAGAGAATCCACTTCGCTGATCCGGACATCTCCTTCATCCAACACCTCCCCTCAACCCAGCCTGGACCTGTCAGAAGGTGCCTTCCTTGGTAATATCGGGGCCTAAATAATTAGAATAGTGTTTTGGGGCCCAATATACTATAGTTATAATAAGGAACCCCCAAAATTTGCCCAACATAGTATTCGTAAAGGCCCTAGATTAAATGCTGGCAGCCATAGCCGTCTAAAGCCCTCAAGCTGCAGGTGCCTCCAGTGAGACAGCACCCAGTGCCGAGCTGGAGAAGAGCCAGCGGCAGGACTGCAAGTCGCGGGTTTCGCTGCGTTTTGGAAGCATCGAAGGGGCGTTGCAGAGTTGTTGGATTTTTGAGGGTGGTAAGTACCCTTCTGAGCTGATCTCCATGCGGACCATGACTCATGACTTGACTACACCTGAGTACATGCAACTGTTCCCAACCCCAGCCCCTAGAGCTCAAAGACTGCACGGCCTCTGCCTCGAGCTTGCCCGTAGAGCCGCCTTGATGCTTCGAGGCTTCCGGTGGAGGCTCTCGAGGCGCTGGGTGCAGTGATGGAAGTAAAACGGGGCGGCAGCAAGTCTGCCTGGCTCCGGGGACCCTGCCGCTTCTCAAGGAGCTGTTCTTGGGCTTCTGTGTTTTCTCCTGCCACCGTCGGAGCTGCAGCATCTCATCGACCTTGGCATGGCATGCATAGCGATTGAAGCTGAACGAAAAGTGGTGCCAAGTAATGTGAGCTCCCAAAAGAGTCACCTGCGTGCAAACAGAGTCGGCCTTTGTCACCTGTTTCGGCGGTTCTTTACCATGTCTGCGTACAGATCAGAACCTCCCGCGTCTCATGGCCGTGGTGGCCGGCCGGGATTCGCAGATTTCTCGACCAAGCAGCAGAACCTAATCATGCTGAAATGCAGCTTCCAGCGGCTGAAGAACATAACATCAAGTTCGCATCCAACGATGTCAGCAACCTTAGAATCTAATGTCGGTAGGTTGAGTGCTCTTGCTGCGTGAGCGAAAATTTCTGTCGGTCTCCTTGCAGCAAGCTCCTGAAACATGTGGGAAAGTCTTTTGGTCAGAAAGAGCTCCCACTTGTTGCACTTAGCAGGGTTGCTGCACTGAGCATGTTGCGGCGGCAGGTTTGTAAGCGATCCTCTCCCTCCATGCAGAGGAGAGGTCAAGCAAACTTGCTAAAACCGCTCCATGCCAGCGGGACGGGCAGCATGCAAGGCTCTGAACTGGAATGCCGAAGTCAAAAAATATTCATGGAAGCCTTTTTGCCGCTCCATTCCTGCTCCTCTTGTTGCTACCCTCCCTGCAAGTCTCCGCACTAAAACCAAATCGACAATCTACTTCCCGAAAGTGCGGGCGCTTCCGCGATTAGAACTATGTTTGATGGATCTGTAAAGTGTGATGTTCTCAAAACTCTGAGCTCGGCATTTAGCAGCGAATGTGAGAACCGTGACCATGCAGACAATCGCAAAATTGTGCCGTCTTCCCTGCAGATATCAACTCTCAAAAAATATAAGTCCTTGTCATCACATTCATGACTCGTACCAGCATGACCAAGATCCTCGCTATCGCCATACTTCTCGTCAGCATCTGGAACGATTTATCAAATCAATCAACAATCACAACCCCCATGGCCAACGATAGCCACTCTCCCCGTGCCGACATCATCATCATCATCGTCATCGTGATCATCATGATCATCATCATATTCTTCTTCTTTATCACCATCGTCTTCATGATCATCATCAACAACAACACCACCATCAGCATCATCATCTTCATTACCATCACCATAATCGTCATCGCCCTCATCGTCGTGATCATCATCGTCCTCCTCCTCATCATCACCATCATCATCATCACCATCATCCTATCAATGCAACCGAGCTGCAACGGCCTGACTACTAGTACCAGTACTACTACTTCGTGATCGCAACTGGACATAGGAAGTCTAAAATTGCAACAGCATGCCAATCCGTGCACGAGAGGACGAGGCCAGGAGATACAATCCAATGGCCTAGCATGCGAAGAACGGAGCAGCAAGTGAAAGAAAGTCTGAACTCGAATTCTTTGCACTAGTGTCCGATGCAACCTCGGAACACCTGGAATTATGCATCTCCCTGGCTCCAAGACACCTTCCCCGGCGAGCTTGAAGCTTACAAGCTTGGGCACTGACAGATCAGCCCGAAAATGTCATCCAATGGCTCAGTACAGACCGCCGCTTGCAGTCGTGTTCTTCCAGCCGTGCAAGCAGCAGTGAAAATTACTTCTCGAAGCCCTGACTGGATAACTAGTGGCATTACATCTGCGTTGCATGGGTGTGGGTCAGCATGGAGATGAAGTCAACAAGCTGGGTAGTGGTTTGAGAATCCACCTGCCTGCCATATAAGTGGGAGAGGATCATCGCTGCGGCCTCTGCAATGCCAAGGCGAGCAGTGTTCACCACTGGGAAGCCAGGGAAGGTCTTCGTGTAGAACATTCTGACCCAGTCCAGCTCGTCTTGGATCACACTCATGGCCGCGTAGCGGGAGCTAGACCGGCCCATCCGTAGCATCCTCTGTTGACGGATGCTTTGGAGCTGCTTAGCATCGGTGGTGAGAAGGGCCACCTTCTTCGCATCCAATTGGAAAAGTTGGCCAGGTGGATCCTCACCGGGCACCAAGGGGTAGTTGGCAACCCGGAGGCCCAGCTTGGCTAGGTAGCTTGCCAGGGTGGTCTTGCCCGTTCGCGACGGGCCCACTAAGACGACATCGGCCTCCCGCCAAAGTTGAGGCTGCAGTCCGTCATCGGCCTTTTCGAAAAATGTCCTTGCCTCTGCAACGGCCGCTTGGAGCTTCGCAACTGCATCCTTGGAGATGATGCTGGCTGGCATATCGCGGGTAAGGGCAAGTGCCACCTGGTGCAGCAACAATGGCACGACGACGACTTCTTCTGCTACTTCTACTACTACTACTACTACTACTACTACTGCTACTACTACTACTACTACTACTACTACTACTAGTACCAGTACCACTACTACTACGGCTACTGCCACTACTACCACCACCACGACTACTACTACTACTACTACTACTACTACTACTGTTACTATTAGCATTATTAATTATTACCATTATTGTTTGCCTCCCCGGGTTCTTAAAAGCTGACCCTGACATTGAATAATGTG